AGACTTTAACTGCACGTCCTAAATGGTACGAAAGATCATGGGGGAAGTTCCCTCATAAAAAATCCATATTAATGTAGTGACATGTTTATTAGTCAATATATTCGCAATTGTTGTGATAGAGAGTGATCACAGTAAATCTGCTAAAAGATATTAATCATTGTGATCGTTAGTTATTTTATTCTCTTTCTATAAACATTATGATCTATGGACGTCTTTGTAGGAAGATTCTACAAGACTACCATGTCCATCTTTGTTGTTTTCGTATTTAAAAATTATAAATGTATCATTCAAAAATATTCTAGAAATACATCTTCTTGTCGACAGGTGAGAATTAATTACAAATACTCTTAAAACATTATTTGTCTAGAAAAAATAAAAACTGCAACTCTCTTATTAAGACTTTAACTGTGTACGTCCTCAATGAAGAATATATTTTATGGATATATTTAATTTCTTTAAATATTTTCTCATTTCATCTTTAATGTTAAAGTTTTCATGTATTATTACATATTTTCTCGATTCCATGTTACACCTGATTGAATTTAGTAAGTAGTTTTAGATTAACGAAGCATTCAATCTAGCTGATTATTGGGAATAGAGTATGGATGTTAGATCGAAAATAGGTTTAACTATCTCATAATTTTTGCTCACATAGTATAGTGCTTTAATTTCTATAATTTTCTTATAAAGTTGATAAAAAAAATTGTTGTAAACATTTTTTAAAATGAAATAATTAAAAAGACCATCTTAAAATTCTAAAATACACAAATTTTTGATAACATGTTTCCATAACTTGTGAGTGTGTTAGCAGCTATGAGGATGAGATTAGCAATGACATCTCTGAAAATAAGCTGATACGCACTCGAAGGGCTGCTCAAAACTTAAAGCTGCAGGACCTTGTAAAGTCCAACATCGAAGGAGATTACGACGATAACTTCTCTGATGCTCGTTGATACTCTTCGTTTTGGAAGGTTTCCCGATCAAGACGTAGTCTCAGTTCTTCTTTCTATTTTTGCTGGTGAAGCTTCTCACTCTCCAGTCGTTCAGCTGACGAGTGTCAGTGCTGTGTATGACTCTGGGTTTGTAGCTCTTTGTGAATATGCACTCTTGTAGTATGTATTATCAGACAGTGTGTTGTTTTTGTTTTTTGGGTCTTGGTTGAGGGATCTTAGTAAGGAGAGTCTGGTAGGTGACGACAAGATCCGCTCCTTACCAACCTCCTCTTTATTTAGATCCTTTCCATAGGCCTATTGTGAGTCGTTTCTTTCTTATTTCCTCTGTTAATTCCTATGCTTTTATATATATATATATATATATATAGCGAAATGAAAAATACTAATTAAATAAAACACCTTATGTTTATAGAATGTGAACAATTTGAGGGTGAGTAATATCATGAAGCATTAAACAACTTATTTCTTTTATTTGCGGGCCAATGTCACGTTGTGCACGGCAGAGTACATCAACGGGTGGGTTCGGTCCGTGTGTTGGGTCAACAAGTGGTAAGTAGACGGAGGGAAGAAAAAAATCGCTTGAATACAAAATAAATAAATAAATAACAGATCCAATGACTACAGCTCAGCTCGCGAAAACTTAAATTTAATTCAGTAAGCACGAGGAGAGAAGGGGAAGTAAAAGCCAAGTCTGCAAAGAGAAGTGACTTTATGGTAGGAGTCGGTGGATGATTATGAATCATTTGACTTAATTTCATTCATTTTATACGCGTCACGCTAAGCTCAGGAGAGCAGTTACCCATCAGAATTTGATCTGTATTGGATAAAAGTGAACTAACAGAGTGGAATTCCTATCAGAGCCTCCTATAACGTGGCCTAAGCCCAACCAATTAACCATGTAGGGAGACATTAATTGAAATATCAAAATTGTCACATATTTGTAAGGCTCGAAGGTCATGCATAATCCCAACAATACTGGGAGCAATGAAATAACAAAACTGTCCCCTACAAGATCTCAGTGCGTAGGGTTCAGAATGCCCCATATGGGTAATACATACGGCATGCATAATCACTGCAGCAGAGTGATAACTTTTAAAACTTGGCTTACATCAAACTACAATCTATATATTTTTTTAAAAAAAAATAAAAATTTAAAAAAATAAAGAACAAGAAATCGTATAATAATACAATAAATCTAATTAACCGTGTCTCAAAGTGAGATATTATCATCTATTGCTTGTCCAATTTTCTTTTTTATTTAATACATTATTTTAGTGGTTTTAAAAGAATGATTAGAGTTTTGACTTTCTGAATACTTATCAAGTATGACAAAGACATATCTTGTTTAAAAAAATATGCTGTTGAAATAAGAGTGCGTGGCCTGAGGAGTCAGATTCAATTACCACAACCCTTATCCCTCATTCCAATTTTAAAGGATGAGAATAGGCCACAAGGCCACAAGAGATTTCCAACATTGTGACAGTGAGCTTCAAAATAATAATAGAAATATCCATTGAAACTAAAATTAACAGTTAGGATAATATGTATATACATAGCAATTCTCATTATAGAAAAAAACTAAAATGACAATATAGTTAAAAAAATTCTAATGTAGGTGGCTTGGGCTAAATTTCAATTCATAATTCATAATCATATCATATTATATCATACTCTCTTTAAAAGCACGAGTTTGGAAAAAAATTTTGGTAGACAAAAATACCATTGAAATTCAAATTAATCCATTAAGTAAGAGTAAGTTGATAAATTAATGAGTTCTTATTGGATATACATAGTATGAAGATAATGATATAGTTTAAATTGAAATGTAAATCTAAATGAATTTATTAAATGCCAAATTTACAAATGTATACAAGATGATGACGTATATACAAAAACCAAACAAATTAGTGAGACAAATAATTTCTGCTGCAGAGGTTGAACCCCGGAACAATGCAGACCTACAAATGTACATAATATGGACGGAGTATTTGCAAAATCCACCAAACAAATTAAAGAGACAAAATCGTTTTGAAAATTATAAAAAAGAAAAATTAAAATAAACGACTACGATATGATGACATAACGTGGCGATCTCTCACCAACTAAAATTCAAGTAATTCACGACACTGCATAATTAGTTTCAAAGTTTAATTATACTATTATTATTTAAATATAACTCTATTTACAATTGTTATCCTCTCATATGCAACATCACATACCAATGTTTATATGCCAAGAAACTACAACAATTTCAGTAACACTTTTATCTCCTTCTACATGTATTTACCTTTGTTATTTCTTCTTATTAGATTAGATTAGATTATTTTAAAACAATTAATTATATTGTATATTTGATCTTCTTTTCATATCAAGAAATATGAACAATTTTTACAGCACTTTCATCTATTTCCTTTTTATTAGATTAGATTATTTTAAAGCAAATAATTATATTGTATATTTGATCTTTTTCATATTAGAAATTATAATAATTTTCATAGCACTTTTATCTCCTTCAACATATATGTGCTTTTGCTATTTTCTTCTTATTAGATTAGATTAGATTAGATTTTTATAAATTGTGAATTATAAAATTGCAATAATTTTTACATCATTTTCATCTATTTTCTTCGTATTAGATTAGATTAGATTGTTTTAAAGCAATTACTTATATTGTATGTTTTTTAGATCACAGAATTTAATTATACTATTATTATTTAAACAGATACTATTTGTATAAAAATCAAAGAGAATCTCACACATATCTTAAATCTCAATGCTAATTGTAATATTTACACATGGGTGTTGGTTAAAATAAATTTTATGTATGAGCTTAACTTATATATTCCTACTTTAACCGGATTAGATAATTTAATTTTTTTAACACCCACCACAAAACCAAAAGAGAGTAGCAATGCTATATATATATATTGAAGAAAACAACTTAACTTGGATATGTGGCTATATTATAGATAGAAACGGAAAAGGGTGGTTTTGAAAATATTGAGTGTGTAGGGGAAATTAATATAGTTTTTGTTTGTGTTGTTTTCTTCATTAATATATATATATATATATATATATATATATATATATATATACACACACACACACAAATATCACACATATTTTAGATCTCAATGCCAATTATAATATTTACACATGGGTGTTGGTTAAAATAAATTTCATGTATGGGCTTAACATATATGATTCTACTTTAACCGGATTATATAATTTAATTTTTGTAACACCCAAACTCTTCCACAAAATCAAAAGAGAGTAGCAATGTTATAGCTATATATATATCTACAGAACCACAGATATCTTGAAAATGAACGAAGAAAACCACACAAACAAAAACCATATTAATTACCCACACACACCCACTATTTTCAAAACCACCATTCTCCATCTCCATCTATTATATATCCACATACCAATTTAAGCTGCTGAAGTTTCCCCTCACCAACTTCACCATTCTCCAAATCCTTTGTACTTAAATTGTATAACATTCATTACGATGAGGACTCACATGGGTCCTTTGCCTGCTTTGAACGTCCAACAAAAATAATAATGTACTAAGCATTGTAATTAGTTAATAATGAGATCCTATCATTATAAATAAACTAAATAAAGATTAATAATTCTTAAGAATGTACTATGTTACCCTATCTTCCCTTGCAAACTTGTTAGTTGTTTATTTCTGGTCCGAAGAGATTTTCAAAATTAATCATCTATTTCATAAAATATTTAAATAAAATTTATTGAAAATGCAACAAACCATATTTATAGATTTTAACTTAAAACAAATCAGACTTATTTTATAGTAAAAAAATAAAAAAAATACTTTTAATATTTAACCACTTGCGTTACACAAGAACTAGTCATAATAAAAAAATGAGAGGAGCAAAGAAGAAATCAGGGTAAAGCCTGTATGTATTAGCTCTAGAAATTTTGGCTCACGTCAGGCCTCACAAGCACACAGGCTCTATATAATTGGGCCCACGTAGCACAGTATCTAGCACTCATATTCCGAAAGAAATAGAAACAACCTTTGCCTTATCTCGAGAAACTTAAGAATAAAAATCACATATCACAAATTTTGCTTTGAAAGGAGATGGCCAACCTCCTTGTGTCCAGACCCAAGCCTTGCATGTGCATCAAAACTCAACCTCGTCTCCTCTCTTCTCTCCTCTCAACCCACTCCATGGCCATGACCTTAAGCTTCATCCCTGGAATTACTATCTTGCCCTCTAGATACCCAAACCCTTTATTCACAAAACCCAGATGCTCTTTTGCTACAAAAGCTAGTTCCCAAGTCTCCAATGGGACAATTAAAGGTACCCTTTTCACCAAATTCGGTTAATTTTACACTTATTCTTGTTTCAGTGATAATACTTGTTTCTGTCATAATTTGCAATTTAGGCAATTGGGTGTCTTTGATTGCCAATGGTGGTATTGCATTTCAATTTATGTTTTATTTTCTTTCATAGTTGATGTCGATCTAGTGATAATTCCAAGTTAGTTGCATTTTATTGTAAATTAAACCTATGGGATTGATTACACCTGGTTGTTGAAGTTTAGGGAGTACATTGTCAACTAAGGTTAAATTAGAAAGGAGTAATGACGTAATTTAGTTATTGGGGTTATTTTTGATGCCCCAGTACTTGTTCATAGATCAATACTAAAGAAGCAAAGCAATCAAGAAAAGGGGCAAAAAAGTAAATAATGATTATGAGAGAAGGCAGGAAAAGTTTGGATTAAAATCGGATCCGATGCTTTTAACTATCTATTTGGTACTTAATATGTGGTTGAACTTCTCTCTACAAATTTGCATGCTTGGAAGTATATATATTTACATACGTAGAGTGAGAAATTAAATGGAGAATTATCATTACATTATATAAAAGTCTAATCGTATAAAACTTGTTATCGTTTAATAAAAGGAAAATGGTTATGAGGTGGCAACTCGCTTTACTAAACAAACTGCCGGACTAATGGTGAGGCTGACCTTGCTAGTCTCTGATCTCTTGATGGATCATTCTTCTAAATGAGGTAGTCGATCAACTCATTATTGCCAAATATGTTATGTAACCTTTTAAAATAACATACGGCTACAATGCATGCAATTTATTTGATACATGCCTTGCCCTCTTAAGAGAAACCTCCTCAGCATCTTCATATGTCCATAAACTCTTTCTTCTAATTGCTTGGCAATTCTGTATGTTTGCTTAATGATTTTGCTCTGAATTCACCAGGGGATGGATTTCCCGAGCGTGTTGGATTTTTAGGTCTTGGAATTATGGGATCTCCAATGGCAAAAAACCTCTTAAAGGCTGGGTAATTTTGATTCTCTCTTATTTTCTTTACAGAGGTTGATAGTGTGATTCTCATTTTGGTTGAAACAGCAAGTGAAAAATACAGTTATCAAGAGATAGTTAATATTTAAGATTGATCCTCATTGGTTGTGTAAATTAATGTTTCTTACTGGGCTCTAATGTGCTTTCTACAATTGCTTTGCTTGAATAAAAATAGGCTAAAATTTTCCCGAAAATAGTTTATTTTGGTGTGATAAACTAAATATGCACAAAAATGAGATGTAGATAGAAGTAGCTTTCATACTGCCCATAGTTTATTGGAAGACAATGCCCAAATTTCCCCCGTGTTTTCCCCTCTTCCTTTAATCACAATTACAACAAGAGAAGATTATGCTCCTGTATGCATTTTATTTTAACTGTTTATCTTACCAGCGATTTTAAATTTGTGTTTTGATGGTTGATTTTCTGGTAAACCCATCCTGAAAATTATTTTATTTCATGACACAATTTTCTTACGCATTGCCGAGAGTGCTTTAGTTTCCCAAATTTGATGTTTTGAAGGTATTTGCAATATGATCAAGGTTTTGGTATGTTTGTTTTCTGAATTCAACATGCATTTCTATATTATTTGAGTTCATTTTTTCTTTCTGTTCCTGTAGATGTGATGTTACTGTCTGGAATAGAACCAAGAGCAAGTGTGACCAGCTGATCAACCTTGGTGCAAAGTATGTTGTACATATCTTTTCTTTCACAGATTTTTTTACTTGTTCTCTAGTCCCTCGATTTGGTAGCCCTAGCCCATCTTTCCGTGCTTGTATTTCAGATGCTCATTCTCGGCCCAGTGAAGTCTCCTCTTCAGAAACAACACTTTCTTTCTGTTAAGTTGTGTACATATACAGAAAAACTTCACCTTAGCCTAATAAAACTAAATTCATTTTTTCGTATAGACTTCGTGCAAGTTTCCCTCAATATAAGATATATCTTGTTATTTTGGAAATATGTTTATGCCATTTAGGTACTTATATGTTGATGCATCTCTGTGATGACTGGTTCTTTTTATTATCGGACATATTTAATTGAAATTCCTTCTTGCTTGCAGATATGAGTCTTCACCAGCAGAAGTTGCATCATCATGCAACGTGACATTTGCAATGCTCGCTGACCCTGAAAGTGCAGTATGTATATTTTGTTTGATCCATAAATTTATATTAGTGCTGATTTGGGATAACTAGCAGTCTCAATTCATAGATTGATGTTGCATATGGAATAAATGGAGTTGCTGAAGGAATTGGGCCGGGAAAAGGGTAAATGCCCAACACTTCTTTGTACACATTTGACATTTCAAATATCAGTTCATTTCAATTGTGATTGTTTGCGTTAAAAGTTGCTTCCATTGATAATTCTATTGAACTTTGGTCGTTTACAACGAATTACAATGAAAAAATTAGAAAATTACAACTCTTGAGAAACTAACACAGAAGTCGTTTATCGAATCCTGTTTTTGTGGGACTTTACCTGTGCCGGGAACGCTTTGGTTCGTGGACCGCCGAATCACAGATCGTGAAGGGGGTTTAATAATTCTGACTTCGTTTATCGAAGTGAGAACTTAAAACGATATCTTATCAAAGTAAGATAGTCGTTCTTCTTAAAATCAAGTCAAAGCTCAATTTCAAGGAGCAACACGAAAACTCAAATCTGCTCTCTCTGCTCTGGATTGCTCGAAAATATGCTTGATCCCCGTCAGAAGTGATCCTAGGGGGGTATTTATAGCCTCAGGGGTAATAACTGCACAAAACTCAAACAAAACCGGGGCGAGACAGTGTTTGCTGTCTCGGCCCACGAGACAGTAAATGCTGTCTCGGAAGTGGAATATTCTGGCAGTTTTTATTTTTTAACTGCCTTCTCACGTTTCAAACTTCGTTATTTTGGTAGTTATTTACGTGATTTTCGCCCAAGATGTTTTCCACGTCCCTTGGCAGTTAATGGACACGTATATGGCAGTTATCGAGGTGGTTTTTGACCATTTCAACACTGTCTCGCTGGCGAGACAGTAAAATACTGTCTCGCTGGCGAGACAGCAAAGTCTGTCTCGCTGGCGAGACAGTTCATACCTGTCTTGATTTTCCAAAAACAGTATGAGATTAATTCTTGTGATTTTTTGAGTGATCTCCTCTATGTTTGGGATATCTATTAGCATTTTTTGACGCCTACAGATACCCCCTCCAAAGTATTTCCAGATGTATTCTTTTATAGAAGAGTCTGAGATATTTTCGATAAGATAAATTTTACTTACGATCCCTTCAATACTTGGTTGAGTAGATCGTGTGGAAGAATCTGTAACATGGCTTCAACTCTTGATCTCTTCATCCATTAGTCTATTCAGTTCTTTGTAGAATAGCTAATACTTCTCCAGACTGCGTTTATCGCTCGACCGTTGTTGAGACCTTGAATTGAAGTTGGTATTTCCAGATTGATGCTCGTTTGTCTTTCGAAAGTTCGTCAGGTTATCCTTAAGAATATTCAGATTAATATTCTCCAGAAGCTTCCTGTTGAGGGTAGGAATACAGTGTCAGGTTATCCTTAAGAATATTCAGATTAATATTCTCCAGAAGCTTCCTGTTGAGGGTAGGAATACAGTTTAGACTCGTGTACCCATTGGAGTATCTGAGGGTAGGAATACAGTTTAGACTCGTGTACCCATTGGAGTATCACTCTGTATTGCATTTGTGCGATATCGTGTTTGCTGTCTCACACTGTGAGATTATGCTGTCTCGCCTAGCGAGACAGAGTTTGCTGTCTCGCTCAGCGAGACAGCGGGTATATAAGTCGGACTTGGGCTTTTTTAGGGTTTTTTCACGTCGATTTCAGAGCGATTCTTGGCGATTTCTTAACGATTTTCCACCAGTTTTCTTCTGCTTCTTCTCCTCTTTGCTGCTGACTTGGGTGGTACCTTTGTTTAGGGATAATCAATTCGGATTTCAAAGGTTCGTTGACCCTCTTCTCTTTCAAACCTTGATTTTCTTCTCCTTCACGTTTGCATGCACTGTTTCAACCAGATTTTGTGATATTTTGTTCAATTTCTCATTCAAAACCCTAACTTTCCCCTTGGGTTTCAATGTAGCTCGTGTTTTCATTATGTCGCCGCGTAGAGCTCGGGGAACTCGAGGTCGTCCGACCGTCAATTAATTTGATCAGTGAGGGATTTTGCGAGGATCGATTTGAATCTCATCTCGACAAAAATTGTAAAAGAACTTTATGAAAATCAAACAATGAATCATTCGAATGATCAGTTTCTTATTTAGAATAATCAACTGATCTTGGGTTATCCCGAAATATCCTTATACAGGACTCTCTGGGAACTTCCCGTCTTACATAGGTTATCCTGAATATATTACGGATAATATTTTTTCAGGAACTTCTCATTTATTGGCATCATTAATTTGTTACCATCCTGGGTAATCAGGCGATAAGCACCGTTTGAATAGACTGTTTCTACTATAAACGGTCCTTTCCATTTGGGTTTAAATTTTCCTTTCTTTTTGGAGTTAAGGATCATAGGCCGTCTTTCGGCTAAGACCAAATCTCCTTCTTTGAAGCTCCGTTGTCGAACTTTCTTGTCGAAAGCTCGGGAAATTCTGGCTTGGTAGAACTCAATGTGCTGTTTAGCTTCTAAGCGTTTTTCGTCGAGCATCTCGAGTTCTTCGAGACGTTTCTGATGTTGTTCTTCGGTTGTCATCTGGGTTACGAGAGCAATCCGAAGAGATGGAATTTGTATTTCTAATGGAAGAACGGCTTCACATCCGTATACCAACGAATACGGAGTCATTCCCGTCGGTGTACGTACCGTGGTACGATAGGCCCATAGAGCCGCGCCAAGCTTGTCATCCCAATCTCGTTTATTTGTTTTCACGAGTTTTGACAAGAGTTTTATGATTGTCTTGTTGAAATCTTCAGCCAATCCATCTATTGTGGGATTGTAAGCTGTCGACGAAATATCCTGAATTCTGAACTTCTCGCAAAACCTGATAAAGGCGTTGCTGATGAATTGAGGACCGTTGTCATGTACGATTCGTCTTGGGACACCATGTTGGTAGATGATATGATGTTTGATGAATGCAATGACGTTACTTGTTTTAACTTCTCTGAGCGGGATTGCTTCAGCCCATTTGGAGAAGTAATCAGTAATTGCTAGGATAAACCGATCACCTTTAACTGATGGTGGATTTATAGGACCAACTATATTCATTCCCCAGGTCTCGAACGGCCATGACGTTGCTGACGGGTGTAGATGCTCTGGAGGTTGGTGCATATAATTTGCATGTAATTAGCATGCTTGACATCGTCAGGCATAATCAGTCGCATCCTTAATCATAGTTGGCCAATAATTCCCAATTCTCCTAAGTCGGTCGCAGAGTTTAGGACCGGGTTGATGTGCACCAAATGTCCCCTCATGCGCCTCTTTAAGTGCTTGTTCTGCTTCCTTATCGGATAGACAACGTAGCAATAGACCGTCGTACGACCGTCGGTATAACATTTGTGATTCGGCGTTGTAGTAAAATCTCGGTGCCCTCCGCCGAATTGAATCCCTTTCTTTCACGTCTTCAGGTAAGATACCGTGTAAGACATAATCAATAATCGGGAAACGCCAATCTCGAACTTCGGGTTCAACTCCTGTTGAATATGCTTCTTTGGCAACCGAATCGTAGATAGGAACAATAAGTTGGTGAGTTCTCACTATAATTAATTGTTCTGTCTCGGGAGGCTGAGCCAGAGATACCGATAATGCCGCCAATGCGTCTGCGTATGTATTTTGGAGATGCGGAACGTACTCGATGAAAAATTCTTCAAACGAGCTTGCCACCTCAATGGCCACCTGGTGGTATGGAATCAGGTCTTGATTTCTGACTTCATACTCTCCTCGAATCTGATTAACTACTAGTTGAGAATCTCCAAAAGCTTCAAGGTATTCGACCCCCAGCTCTTTGGCAAAATTAAGTCTAATTATCAGTGCATTGTACTCGGCTACGTTATTAGAACATGGTTCGGTCAACGAATACGCTCTAGGTAAGACATGCTTTCCCGGGGAAACTAAAACGATCCCCACTCCTGAGGAGATTTTAGAACATCCGGGTGCGCTCGCTACATTGGTTGATCGGGAAGCCCCATCGAAGTACAATTGCCACACTTGTTGATGTGAGGTGGTATTAACTTCGTGAGTTTTATCTGGCAAATCGTCGTACAGCTCAACTACATCTTTTGTAGGATTTTCTGCTAAAAGGTCGCAAATGGCTCGTCCTTTAACTGATTTTTGTTGCTTGAAGTACAAGTCATATTGCGACAAGAGTAAAGCCCATCTGGCTAAACGCCAATTCATGGAGGCTGGTTGGGTCATGAATACTCGGATGGGATTTATGTTGGAAATGACATAGAATCGCGAATACCAAGGCGAGGCATTCCTTCTCAATCATCGGATAACGAGACTCAGCTCCTACCAATGTACGACTCAGATAATACACAGCTTGCTCGTGACCGTTATCGTCATCTTGTGCAAGTAATGCACTTAACGAATGGCTCGTCACTTTGACATAAATAAAAAACGGTCTGCCTGATTTCGGTGCAACGAGAATCGGTGGATTCGCCAGATATTTCTTAATATCTTCGAATGCCTTTTGGCATGCTTCATCCCAAACGAACGACATATTTCTTAATATCTTCGAATGCCTTTTGGCATGCTTCATCCCAAACGAACGACACTCCTTTCTTTGCAAGTTTAGAGAATGGTTGACATTTTCCAGACAGATTTGATATAAACCGACGGATATATGCCAATCGACCTTGCAACCCCCTGAGTTCTTTAAGATTCCTCGGTGGTTGTAATTCATGTATCGCCTTCACTTTATCAGGATCGATATGAATACCTTTTGTGATGACGACGAACCCAAGAAATTTACCGCTGAACATTCCAAGAAAGGACTTAGTTGGGTTCATCTTTAACTGTCTTCAGATCGTTAATGTGGTCGTTTTTATCACGACTCTTAACGACCAGGTCATCAACGTAGCATTCGACGGTCTTCCGGAGGTGCTCTTGAAAGATCTTCGTCATCGCTCGTTGGTATGTAAACCCGGCATTCTTCAAACCAAATGTCATAACAGTGTAACAAAATACACCTAGGGGTGTTCTGAATGCCGTATGCTTTTCATCATCCGGGTGCATCTTGATTTGATTATACCCAGAAAATCCGTCCATGAATGACATTCTTTCAAACCCGCATGTGTTGTCAATGATGACGTCTGTAATGGGTAA